GAGGAAACAAAAGAAGAAACAGAAGAACAGCTGCAAGAAGAGGCACAGCTAGAGGAAGTTAAAGAAGGACCAGAAGGAGGACTGCAAGAGGAGGTTCTTGAAGAAGGTCTCAAAGAGGAAGAGCTTCCAGAAGAAGGACACGTCTGCGGACAGGAATTGTCAGAGGCCGGCTCTCTGGATGGGGAAGGCTCCCAGGAAGAGGACGCAGTCCAGGAGGAGGAAGCGGGAAGAGCCTCTGCCTCTGCAGAGCCATGCCCCCCAGAGGGCACAGAGGAGCCCACGGAGCCCCTTAGTCATCTCAATGAGATGGACCCAAGTGCCAGTGAGAGTCAAAGTGGCTCCCAGCTTGAGCCTGGCTTGGAAAAGCCACCTGGAGCTGCCTGGATGGGCCAGGAACACACGCGGGCCCCACCTACCCAAGGGGCTGCAGAGAAGAGCTCTTCGGTGGCCTGCAGAGTGGCTCTGGACTGTGACCCCATCTTGGTGTCTGTGTTGCTGAAGAAGACAGAGAAGGCCTTCCTGGCCCACCTTGCCAGCTCAGTGGCTGAGCTCCGAGCACGCTGGGGCCTGCAGGACAACGATCTGCTGGACCAGATGGTGGCCGAGCTGCAGCAGGACGTGGCCCGGCGCCTCCAGAGCAGCACCGAGAGAGAGCTCCAGAAGCTCCAGAGCCGAGCGGGGCGGATGGTGCTGGGGCCTCCCCGGGAGACCCGCACGGGGGAGCTACTCCTGCAGACCCAGCAGCGCAGACACCGCCTCTGGGGCCTGCGCAACCTCTCGGCCTTCTCTGAGCGGACGCTGGGCCTGGAGCCCCTCTCCTTCACCCTGGAGGACGAGCCGGCCCTCAGCACAGCCCTGGGCACCCAGCTAGGTGCAGAGGCTGAGGGAGAGGAGTTCTGTCCTTGCGAGGCCTGCGTGAGGAAAAAGGTGAGCCCTACGTCCCCCAAGGACACAAGGGGGGCCACCAGAGGTCCCATCAGAGAGGCTTTTGACCTGCGGCAGATTCTGCAGAGGAAGAAGGGAGAACGTACCGATGGGGAGGCAGCAGAGTTGGTCCCTGGCAGGACCCCCATGGACCCCATAAGCACCAGGACTGTCCAGGGAGCTGATGGGAGGCCAGGGCTGGGGCTGGGCCCAGGGCCTGGAGTGGATGAGGAAGAGGACAGCGAGGGGAGCCAGAGACTCAACAGAGGCAAAGATCCCAAACTGGGGGAGGCAGAGCGAGCTGCCGTGGCTCAGGAGAGAGAAGGGAAAACCCACAGCAGCAAAACCAGCGCCAGCAGTGAGCTGGAGGAAGCTGAGCTGGAGGGAGAGGGCGTGGGTGAGAGGGGAGAAACTGGGGACCAGGACTCTGGGCATGAGGACAACTTGCAGGGTGAAGCTGCGGCAGGAGGTGACCAAGATCCAAGACAGAGTGATGGAGCCGAAGGCATAGAGGCCCTGGAGGCCAAAGAGGAGACTCAGGAGGCAGAAGAGGAGGGCCAAGAGGCAGAAAAAGAGGCCCAGGAAGCAGAAGAGGAGGCCCAGCCAGAGTCAGAAGATATAGAGGCCCTGGAGGCCGAAGGGGAGGCCCAGCCAGAATCAGAAGGTGTAGAGGCCCAGGAGGCAGAAGGGGAGGCCCAACCAGAGTCAGAAGGTGTAGAGGCCCAGGAGGCAGAAGGGGAGGCCCA